CGGAGAGCATGGCAAGATCCCATGGGCTCAGGTAATATGGTTTCTTGGATTCCTGTGGAATGGTGTGAGGTTGGATAAAGCAGTCTGAGATGTAATGAACATTTTGGGGATTGGGATTCATATCGTCGGAATTGTGGGAAAGAAAGTTGGGTTAATAATTCCGGTCGAGTTGGTTATTAGTTTAAATAGAAGGGTAGGTAAGGTTGAGAATTCAACTTTTTTTTGCTGCGTTTTCAACAAATCCCAATTTAAAATGGTTTTATTCGGATCGGAACAGGGTAGGTTAAGAGAATCAAAATTGAAATACCACCGCTACGACGCTACCAACCGCTGATGTTTCACTTTTAAACTTTCAAAGGTCTGATATTCAAACAAAAAAAAAAAGAAGAAAAAAAAGGGTTTCAAAGGTTTGAAACTTGGTGTATGCGTATGTGAGAAGAGTGGAGTCTATTCCTTCCTCGTAGTTACCGAGAAAAAGAGGGGAAGATTTGTTCTTTTGGCACTTGGCAGCACTCTCACAATACCCCGATGCATTGTCATGATGTCCGTCGTTGCATGCTGTGGCCGGATGATTTATGCAACCATACTTATATAATTTTATGAAAATTTGCAGGGGTAGTAAAAATATTTTCTGTATTTCAAAATACTTTAAATATAATATCAGTCTTCTTTGCATCTGTGGAAGAATTTTAAAATTCATTTATTTCTCTCAGGTTGGATGTTAGTTTTCGCAACACAAAACCTTCATCTCTGACATCATATTAAAAATGAAAAAATCACCATCCAACTCAAAAGCTTAAATTGATAAGGTGGGTAAATTTAATCCAATATCTCTCCCCTGATAATTATTTTCTTTTTAATGCTCTCTCTAATCTGTTTTCAACTTCACTCCCTCCCTATTTTTTCTCCCTATTTTCCTCTCTCATTTCTCTATTCTCCCCGCCTTTCTTCTTTCCATTGCACTCCCTCTTCTTTATCATCTTTGGTCTCATTTTTCCTCTAACTTTCTCTCTTCATCTCTCTCCTCTTTTCCCCTCCTCTCCATCTGTCTCTTAGTTCTCTGCATCTTGTTCTTTTCAGCTATCTGGCTGCAAAATAATTTAGTCTCTCTAACATCTACAAGAATCGACTAAAATCGACTGTTCGAATCGAGGGTCAATTAGTTGATTTGTACAAATATTAGAAACCCACAAATTTTCGATACACAAAAGCTGAATGATCAACTTTTGGTATCGATTTTATGCTAAAATTGAAACCACGACCGACATACACCATACATTTCAATTTTCATTTTTTAAAACAAATTTTGATCAAGATGGAATCCACAAAAATCGGACCGTATTGGTTGGATTTGGAACCGGTTTTAAGTTTTAACTATGGAAAAACATTACTCTCAGTTAGCATTTGTTGCATAAAGCATTTTGGGTTTTGAGAAAGTTCCAACCTTTCACACTCTCTAACACTATTTTATTTCATAAGAATAAGAATAACACTTCCTTACTTGCTAACTACCACTTAAAAAATAATACTTGATCAACAATAATTTTTCTTATAATCACTACTCAAAATTTAATAGCACTTCTTGTCAAAGAAAAAAAAAATGACGGCATTTATTTTTCTGGAAAATATAAAAATGCATCTTCCCTTTTACCATCCTCTCTAGCTCCTACTTATCCAAAAAAAAAAATGGTGGTCATCAGCACTCAAATAGAAAACTATGTTATTTGTTTGAAAAAGAATAAATCTCTTATCTTTCTTCATTTACCAATTTCTCTTTTCTACACACAAAAATTTAATGGTAGCCAACTTGAGATATGGCATAGTAGTTTAATCATCCAATTTTTATTGTCATCTGTATATGGTCGCATATCCTCATACAGCCTAGCATTAAAAAACCATTCACACAGACTACAAAAACATCCGACGAGAGAAAATGTTACCTTCCGCAGTACTTGATGATTCCAAAATATTGAAAAGGGAGTCTTTATTTGAAAATGTGAAAGTTGTAAGAATTTTCAGTTTGGTGTTATCAGGAAAACAATAACAACTAATGCAGGGGAGTGTATGAAGTGGTAGCACTCATGGACAATTCCTCATCAGCCTCCAGAGCAGTCATGATATCGAGTGGAAGACACAACTCCAGATCCATGCTTCCTCCTCCTTCAGATCCTGGGTAACAAGATATTGCCCCGTCGAACTTGTGCGCATACCCACTTCGAAGACCCAACGCCCTCCCCATTCCAAACACGTTTCCATACTTGTTGAATTTGGGCGAGCTTCCAATCATTACGCTCAATGGATCGAACAATTGCTCTATTTGGTATATGGAGGGACATTCCAGCCATTTGTTTACAAGATCTCTCACCACATCGTCCGTGTGATTCACCACAGCCTCGTGCAGTCTCCACGCTGCCCACCCAAGATTGTTCTCCAGCAGCTCCTTCACCGTCGCAACTCCTTTTCCAGCTTCAAACGAATTCCCGAAGTAATTTTCGGGTATGGGTGGGTGTAGTCTTGATCGGCTGTTAATTGCAAATATGCAGCCGATGGTCTGGTCCAGTGGAAGGCCGCGGACTCGTGTTATGCTTCTCCACATGAGTGCGGATACGGACTGGAAGGAGGAGATTTTGTTGGTTTTGTACTCTGCGTTTGCTCTGGCTTTGAGTGTGCCCACGGATTCCGGCGAGAAGTGGAACATTCTTTTGCTCAGTTGGGGGGCTTCGAATCTGGTAATAAACTTATCCTGGTGGGTGAATGGAAGTTTGAGGATTGGGCCATGGCCCTCCGGGAACCAGCGCTGGAGTATCGGCGGGCGTGAAATTGAAATCTTATCGCCATCCTCTGCTTGGAAAATTTCGGACCACATGTTGAAGAAATGCCAAAAAGAAGTTCCGTCGACTATGCAGTGGTTTATGGAACACCCAATGAAGACGCCGTCCAGTAATTCCGTCACCTGAACTGACAGCAACGGCCTGGAATGACCGTCGTGGTTGACTGCTCTGTCATGGTCGAAGAAAGATTCGACAACTAACGGAACATCGGCGGGTGAAAGAATGTCAGAAATCGACATGTCGAGACGGGCGTGGATGAATTTGGCTCCGGGGCTGTTGTTGCAGTCCACATAAACGAGGCAAGATCCTTCATCTTCGTATTGAATTGTTGCGAGTCGTCCGGCGAGTGGGTAGAAATGAACAAGAGCAACAGAGAGGGAGTGTTTGAGTTTCCCCAACAGAGCGTCGATGAAGTGGCCGGCGTCAACGGCGGCGGCGGGAGGCTTGGCGTAGAGAAGACCCTTTTGGATGTAATTCATGGAGAGCATGGCAAGATCCCATGGACTGAGGTAATATGGGAGCTTGGATTCTTCTGGAGTGGAGTGGGGTTTGAGAAAGGACTCTGAGATGTATACAACTTTTTGGGGATTGGAATCCATAACGTTGGAATTTTAGGGGAGAGTTTTTGGATATTTTCCGATGATTCGTGCTCAAATGCTTAGTTTAAATAGAAGGGATGTAGATATAACTTTTCAGTGACTCCCCATTTGAAATTGGTTTTCTCGTGGAAAACACGGTTCAGGGGATAAAGCCATCGCTGATTTTTCAACTCTCAAAAGGCTTGAAGCTTCGTGGATATGGGAAGAGCGACTCCATTGCGGCACGGGTGTGACATAGCGAAGATTGTTGTGCTGAATGAAAAATTCACTGCTGACGTTGCAGGGGCCGTATCGTCATCTCCTCTTAGTTTTCAGGCTTTTGCCCCTCTTTCTTCCGAAAAAAAAAGGTCTATTTTATCTACCATTAGAATTAAAATGTTACATCAATCAATATGAATCAAATATGCCAATATGAGCTTCTCAGCCGTAATTCACATTCTCTATCGAGTTCAAATCTTCCCTCCTTTTACTAAGAAAAAAATATATACGAATTAAATATTTTCATATTATTCAAATTGGGTTTCCAACCAACATCCTCCAAATTGTAATGGGATAAAAAAAATGACTACGATAAGTATGAGGTAAAAATTGTATTTCTCATTTTCACGCTTAAAGTTTTTTTTATTTAAATGTTGTCTTATCCTTCCAAAAATATATGTTGCTTTAATTTATAGTTTTGTTAAGTATTTAAGTTTTAACGGTTTAATTTTATTCAATGATGCCTGCAATTTCTTAATGCATATAGATAAAAAGATCAAATTTAATTATAATATTTCAAATCAGAAAAACAGTTATTTAAATTAAAGTTAAAAAACATATCTAAATGAGTAACAAATAAAATCTAATAATAATATTGATTAAATAGGATAAAATAAGTTATCAATAAAAGTAACATATCTGTTAATGAAAATAAAATTACAACTAAAAGAAATATCAAATAAAGTGGAGTCGTTGTAAAAAGATTCAAATGAAAAAAGAAATGAGAGGAAAAAAATAAAAATAAAAAGATAAAAGGTGAAAGTATAAATAATATTAGGGTAGAAATTATGTAATTTAAGAGAGAACGTCGTATGTAATATTTTTTAGCTCTTAAAAATGTTATGGAGTCCAATTTATTTCAATAATAATGCAGATTTGACATGCCATAAAATTAATTGAGGTAGTATAGAGTCAAACCGAGCATAGTTCAAGTGGTTAAAGCACCTATCTCTAATCAAAAGGTTATGAGTTCGAATCCCAACTCCACATGTTGTACTAAAAAAAACTAAATTTGGCCTATTTGGTAATTAAATTTCCCATATATGCTATTAGTCCATGCCAAATGAACTTGTTTAATACACACAAATAGAAATTGAACCCATCCGGAGAGCTTAGCTAAAATTGTCCAAAAAAGATAAAAAAATCTAACGTCCTACTTTTTAAAATAATAATAATAATAAATAAATAAGTTATTGTTTATTTTTAATTAAAAATGAAATAAAATATTATCAGATGGGACATTTATCCCAACAAGTTTTAGAAGCCAAATGGGAAAGTTGTTAAAGTGAGAGTATTCTCCACAACATTTTTGACAAGAGAATGGGCCACTTTGTTGAGCTGACGAGGGACATGCACCATGGAAGAGGTTGCTTGATTTCTGAGCTCCAGAATCCAATGTGTTTCATCCCAAACTGAAGAGAGAATTCATCAAGATGCGCTCACGCTCAACGTTAATAAGTTGGCTGAGGCTTTAGCCAAAGTTACTTTTTTTAATTACATGACGAAGAAGACACATAACCTTCCTCATAAAATAAACAACGCACATTCATTTAAGATACTTTTCTATTCCAAACTAAGGGTAAGGAATTTGGGACAGGAAATGTTTGTCGCTGCATTGGGAAGGATCTTTCAACTTTATCCCGTTGTTAGCTTAGCAGCCTACTTAATTTGAATAGAAATTTGGCTTTGACATTAGTTTTTAATTATAGTAAAGAGAAAAAGAGTATACAAAGGGATTAAAAATGCTGCTTTGTCTTGTGATCTTTTGCTACAATATTTCCAGGTTCAAATCTTTGAAGCTTCGTGGATATTGGAAAACTATTGACTCTCCTGCCGGCGTGCCCAACCCTTCTTATTGGAACATAGAAAAATACTTAGGTGTACCTACTCTGTTGCTACCATCACTGACAATTTGATAATCTCTCTCCAACCTAGGAAAATTTTAATACTTAGTAAAATATAGGCATTGGCCAGTCACCCCATAAACATGTTTGTAAAATATATCTCTAGTTTTGACAATGTCAACACTGATGTAACCGAGATTTTCGTTCTGTTGGAATATTTTGTCGGAGGAAACGTGGAAATCTGTATGGGGCGAAGTTGAAAAGCAAGAGAATTTATTTATTTATATTTTTATTCCAATCATAGCTGATGAAGAAAATCTCTCTATAACAAGATTTAGATGAGTCAATACCACCCAACTGCTGTCTATCATTCTTTATTAAAGCAAACAAAATGCACGATTAGGTTCGAAATCAAATCCTGGTGTTGAAAATTACATAACTTGTTGGTTATTTATTTGTGTAGATGGAGAATCATGATTGATATTGCAAGTTGGGCGAGGAACTAGGAAGAAACAGCATCCATGAACTCCAAATCGGATTCGAGAAAGGCCATATTTTGTGGGAGTAGACAGATTTCTAAATCTACGCTTCCTCCGCCCTCGCGGCCTGGATACGAAGAAACCTTGCCGTCGAATTTGTTCGCATATCCACTCCGCAGCGCCACCGCTTTTCCCATTCCAAACTCATTCCCATATTTATTGAACCTCGGGGAGCTCCCCAGCATGATGCTGTACGGATCAAAAAATCGACTCAATTGAAAAGTAAAGGGAGATTCCAACCACTTGTCTAGTTCCTCTCTTAACTTCTCGTTCGTGTTGTTGATCACTGCTTCGTGCAATTTCCACGCCGCCCAACCCAGCCCTGCTTCAAGCAATTCCCCTGCTTTTGCTTCCGCTCTCAGTCCCGATACTACGTTTCCGAAGTAGTTCGAGGATAAGGCTGGTTCTAACCTTGCTCTGTTGTTAGCCGCCATGTTGCAATTGGTGCTTTGATCCTCCGGCGCGCGACGGGCTCGTGTTATGGATCGCCACACAAGCGCCGACAAGGACTGGAAGGAGGAGATTTCTCCGGTGTTGCACTCTGCGTTGGCTTTCGCTTTCAATTTAGCGATTGATTCTGCTGAGAAGTGGAAAATTCTCTCCCTCAGCAGGGGGGTCTCGAATCTGCTGACGAATTGATCGAGGTGGGTGAAGGGGAGATTGATAATTGGGCCAACCCCATCGGGAAACCACCGGTTCAGAATGGGTGGCCGTGAAATTGAAACATTACCATCATCCGATTCGGACGGTGCTTGAAAGATTTCAGACCACATGTTGAAGAAATTCCAGAAGGAGGTTCCGTCACCCATAACGTGGTTAAAGGAGCAGCCAACGAAGACGCCGTCCAACAATTCGGTTACCTGAATGGATAGCAAAGGCAGAGTATGTCCATCGTGGTTGACAGCTCTGTGATTGTCGAAGAAAGAGTGGACCACTGGAGGCACATCAACTGGGGACAGAACGTCAGAAATTGTGATGTCGATTGCGGCGTGGATGAACTTTGCTCCGGGGCTGTTGACGCAGTCCACATAGATCAAAATGGAAGCTTGATCCTGGTTGTTGACCGTAGCAAGGCGGCCGGTGAGTGGGTAGAAGTGAAACAGAGCAGCGGAGAGGGAGTCTTTGAGGCGGCGGAGAAGATTGACCATAAAAGGGTGTCCGTGGTCATAGGCCGCGGATTCAGAAGGTTTGTGAAAGAGAAGGCCTTTTTGGATATAGTGGACGGAAAGCATGATGAAATCGCAGGGGCCGAGATAATAGGGCTGCTTTGATTCTTGGGGAAGACGTTGTGGTTTGACAAAGCACTCGGAGATTTTTCGGAGCGTCGGATGATGGGAATCCATCCTCCGCAAGTTTCGATTCAATCGGGGAAGACTGAAGACTGAAGAGGAGCTTCTGTTTGCTTAGCCGCCGGCGCTGCGCAGATGGGTTCAAGACCCTTCTTTTCTGGTATCATCACCACACCATCCTCCTTTTATTTCCTGAAGAGTCGGTTGGATGGCGTCAGAAAATTAAAAAAAAAAAAAAAAGGGAATAGCTCTTTTCAATGTCTGAAGTTTGGACAATACGTACAAATAACTTTATATTATATAACTAATTTAATTACATGTCCATTGACCAAAGTCTAAAGTTGGGCGTGCATACCTACACAATCCACACTCACACTTGTTACATTGAATATGTAGCCTATCCACACTCAGGTTTGTTACCATGCATTCCAACACACATGCTCCTATATTAAAAAGGGTAATTGCAGTGGGTAGCAAAAATATTTTATGTATTTCAAAAAATGTCACCAACTTTTCAATATTTCAAATATAGCAAAATATTTGAATTTTTATTTTCGGAATTTTTATTATTTCAATTTTACCCTTAATGATATCTGATGTATATCTATATTTGATATACATCCAACTTATATATGATATACATCTGATGTATATCATACATCAAATCTATATCTGCTATACATTTGATGTAAATTTGTATATGATATACATCTAATCTATATCTAATGTACATTCAATGTAACTCTGATATACTTCCGATATACATTCAATGTACCCTTAATATACAGTATCAGATGTACCATGATATACATGATCAGATATACCACTGATATACATCAAATGTACGTATTATATAATATATATATATATATATATATATATATATATATATATATCTCTGATGTACTTCTAATTTATGATATACTAAATATGTTGGCTTTTTTGCCTTAATCTCAAATTAATTAATTTTAATTAATTAATTAATTAATTAATGTTTTGATGATAACAAACTTAATTTTATTTATTGACATTTTTTGTATTTTAAAGTGATGACAGTGTAGAGCTCGTTACAACGATTCCAACGACTGTTAGATCATCCAAATCGGAGCTCAAACAAAAAAATTACGATTAAAACAAATTGGAAAGAAAAATACATGAGAAGATGACGTGGTCAATTCATAAGCTAATAAGTGACAAGCTTCTTTTTAAAAAAAAAAATATATATATATATATATATATTGAAAAAGAAAAGAAAAAGATAAAAAAAACAAAAACAAAAAGTGTTACCTTGTCACTATCACATCTCTTTTATATATATATATATATATATATTATTCTTAATTTATTTTTTAAAATTATCTCAACCCTTCATTTTTAATGATTAAGGTCTAATGGTTAAACTTGATTTTTTTTACCATTTTCTTCCCTCTATTTAAACTAAACTTTTCATTCAAAATTATACAACAATTCTCTTATTCTCAATCTTCCATAACTTTAAAATTTTCATTTTGCTAATCTCTCCAAGTTCTCAATTTTTCTTTCCATCTTATTTGTGAGAGAAATTTTATTGTTGTGAGGATTGAAATTTTTGTGAGCTCAAATTTGTATATTTACTCTATTTGAGAGTTTGTAAGTGTGTGTTTCAAAATCTTCAACTCATTGTAACGATGTGATCCTCACCGTGGAGAGGATCGTCTTTGCTCTTGTGAAGAGCAGTGTACCGGTTTGACTTCTACCGTGGAAAGAGTTAGAATTTTAATTTACAACCCAAGAGGTGCTTGGGAAGTGGAGTAGGACAATTATGCCGAACCACTATAAAAATTCCCGGTGTCAAATTTCTCTAACCCTCTCTCTTATTTATTTTTGCAATTAATCTTAGAATTTGATTGTTTGCTTTAAATTTCTCTTGTTTGCCTTAGAATTTATTTTATCTTACTTTGTTAAAATTGCATATCTATTATTTTTGTTTAAATTGGGCCCATTTATTAAAAAGTTTATATTTTGTTAATTAAACCCTATTCACCCCATCTAGGGTTGCCATACCCCTCCAACAAAATATATTTGCAACTGATCAAATGTTTAATTTTTAGTAGTATATCAGCTGTTTAAATTCTAGTGTATCATTTCAATTTGTTGATTAATATACTAATATTATCAATAATGTTGATTACTATATCACTACTATTTATTCAATATTAATATTAATTAGATACTAAATATAATGGATATCTAACTGTTTAAATTTATAAAGTATATCAAAATTTTAATTTGTCTTTTTGGATGTGCATGGTCCACATAAACCTTTTATATAATAACTTTATATTTCAAATATAAAAAATAAAAAATTTTGCATCATTGTTTTCATCTGAAGAATATATTAGGTATAATAGTATGATATCATCACATATATATATCATAGTTATATTAGTAGATATAATGGTTATATCAGAGGTATATAAGTGGTAAATTTTGTATATTAAGTATATATCAAATATATATCAGTGTTATATTAGTGATAAATCATATAATCATATAAGAAGTTATATCGGTAGATACTATAGTTATAGCAATGGTATATCATTTGTATATCAATGGTGAATTAGAGACATATTAAATATATATCAGATGTATATGTGTGGTAAATCAATGGTTATCATACGTATATCAGTGGTAAGACATGTTAGAAGTTGAGTAGATATCATGGTTATATTAGAATTAAATTAATTGTATATCATTATTATATCAGTGGTTAGAGATATATATCAGTGGTCAGATAAGATATATATCAGATATATTAAATGGTGAATTTGTAATTTTATAATTGGACCTCCATTTTTTCAGGAAAAAAATGCTATATTTGAAAAAATTAAATGTGATTGCTATTTGTTTATTTTACTAAATTTTTTTGCCATATTTGCAAGAGCACCTATTAAAAAACAAGCATCTCTAAAAAATATTTTTAGACTATATTACCCTCCCATTTTTTTATGAATCACAAATATACTATTTATTTTAATAAAATATTACAAATTACACAGATTTCATTCCATTTTCGTAAATATTTTGAATTTTAAATATTCAATTACATACAATAATTGAATTTTCGGGAATGACAACCATTGGAGAAGGCCTCTAACTTGTAAAAGATATTTAGGTTAATCCCTACACATCACCCAACATATGTGCTGCAACTGCCGTTCGGTCCGACGAGCAGGACGTTTTTCTCCTTCTCCTCCTTCTTAAAAATGATAATTGCTTTCAAAGCCGTGGTTTGGTTTCTTCACGCTGCAACAAAGTTGCTTTTCTTTTTTTCTCATTTTCAAATCCTTTTTCTGTTTTACACCAATCATGTTCATAGCTGTCAAACAAAACGTAAGAAAATAATTCCACTTATAAACAATTGTAAGAAGAAAAAACAGTAGAATGTCCATAAATTTCACATTTCACAGCAGATGAGAAACAGTTTCCATGAACTCTGGATCAGACTCTAGAATTGCCATATTCTGCGGGAGCAGGCAGATCTCTAAATCAATGCTTCCTCCTCCCTCGTATCCTGGATACCAATACACGTTCCCGTCGAATTTGTTTGCATACCCACTCCGAACCGCCACCGCTTTTCCCATCCCAAATTCATTCCCATAAACGTTGAATCTCGGCGAGCTCGCCATCACCACGCTGTACGAATCCAAAATCCGATCCAGTTGGTAAGTATAGGGACACCGAACCCACTTGTGAATTTCCTCTCTCAACAATTGGTTCTTGTTGTTCACTACTTTTTCGTG